AGAGAGAGAGAGAGAGAGAGAGAGAGAGAGAGCAAATAGTCAATTCTTTATGAAGAAAGAAAGCGAATTTTTAAATAAATTTTTCTTTTATTGCTTTTCATTACATTAACTTATATATAATTTTATGTGACTTATATAACACCATGTGAAAATTAAGTATTTAAATTTTTAATAATTAATAATAATTTCATGTTAATAAAATCGATATTTTCCATTTTTCGGTTCTACAATTTTTTCTTATAGACAAAAAGTCCAATTACAGAGATTTAAAAGAGAAGAAACGGATTTGCATTTTATGAAGAAAAAATTTTATAAAGAGAGAATGGAACTTTAAGTTTGAAATTCTTCTGAATTCTTTTAAAAATTTTTGTTAGCCCTTTCGAGCGATAATTTTATTTTAAAATAGTGACAAAATAAATCTGAGCTAATGTTGAATTAATCATTAAACATTAATTATTAAATGAAGTAATGCCATTGATTAGCTTATTAATTAAAAAATAAATTTTTGGATTTAAAAAAAACGCGAAGATTGTTTAAAATAAGTAGTAGTATTGGCACTACCAATTAATACTGAATTCGAAGTAAGCCAAACGGTACAACGGGCTGATGTTCAATCCGAATGACGATGCATGACTATCCCTAATTACGTCCGTTACCGTGAAACGTTTCCGAAAGTTTCGCGCTTTTGTTTTCTTCGTTAACTCGCGCGATTTATTATAATGGAATCTAATTATACCTAGCGGGACCGTGTGCTCGCTGACGAGTTGCAAGTATTTCATTAGTGTACGTATAAGTATCACGTCCTGTAACAGGTACACGAATCATAGATTTTATCATCTCAAATTCCGTTATAGAGATTAATTTTATTGCATTATTAACAATTGAAGCAAAGGATATCGCAAGTTGCGGATATTGCTTTCCTTACAGGCCTGAAGCTTGTATAGCTTCAGGTCGTGTATTAAGACAAAATGTCTAGTCGTTACGTCATGGGGCTTATATCACGTCGGCGATGGCGTTCGCATAGTAATCATCGATATAATGGCGATGATCGATCTGTCTTGCAGGAGGCATCGCACATGGAGCGCAGTGCCGATCGCGCCCGCTGGCCATTTATGGACTCTCGAGAAAGAGAGATAGAGATAGAGACAGTAAGTGAGTGAATGAGTAAGAGAGAGGGGGAGGGGTGAGAGACGCAACTGCCAACCCTCAATCTCTGCAGCTCCTGTATGATCGAACTAAAGACCCTCTAATAAGAGTCTGGACATGCACGAGACGCAGTTTTGTACGTAGAGCATAGTAATTTTAACAAAATTGATGAGACAGAAGGATATTTGTTATTTTTTTCTTATCTATTTCTCTTTCAAAGAGAGAAAAAAAGAAGAGAAAAACGTGATAGTAAGTAAAAGATAATTAAGAATAGAATACAATTGTAGGTCAGAAACATCAATAGACATGTAGAAAGAATTGTGTGCATGGGACGTTATGGCTGTGATAATATATTTAAGATGGATAAAGTAGAAGATCAATAATGATGTAAAAGACACGGGAAGTGCAATAAGCAATGAAAATAGGAGTACGTGTAAGAAAGATGGATGTGTGAAGTAAGAACAAAGTTTGTAAACCGAGCTTCTTCTTAGCTTTATTGTATAAATACTGAGAATAGAATAAATTTTATTCTATCATTTCTCTCTCTCTCTCTCTCTCTCTCTCTCTCTCTCTCTCTCTCTCTCAGGAATTATTAAAAAACATCAAACCAGTCAAAAATGATTTTCTCATTTCAAGACACTTTCGTATTAATTTCTAGATCGAACTATCTTCGATTTCTACGTGTGATCGTCTGATCACAATTAGAATGCAGCCGCGTTTTTTGCTTCGGACGATCGCGGTGCACGACACCTACACGCGCGGAAAGACGAGCGTGAGATGTGCGTTGCAAAATGTGTGCGACCGGGTGTCGGTGCCCACATGCATTGCGTTGCGTTGCATTGCGTGGCGTGACACCCACATGAAATACAGCTACCGACTCGCGACGATAGGCCCTCAAGAACCGTGACTCGTTCCCGTCGATTATAGATTCTCGGTAATTCGCTGTGCGCCGTGCGTTTCCTGACCAAACATTACATCGCTTAAGATAGCGATTTTCAGCGTGGTCGGTGATATTCGAACGTATGGAACGACCTTGCGAGAGTCGAGCTGACGTCGAGACGTGCGCGGCGTGCGCGGCGAGCGCGGCGAGTTTGCGGTAAAAGCCGAGACCCGGTGTTTTCTCATCGCCGTATAAGTCTGCCGCGAGAATCGAGAGACGGGCGTTGTGCAAAGTAAATTAACAAACGGGACTAAAAAATCGGGCGAGCTTGCGAATCAAATTAACTCGTTGGTGTTGATATACGTGAATGCAACAGGTAGCAAGAATGAACATTTCTTTTTTCTCGTTATTAAAGAATATTTCGAGAGACATAGCGTTTCGTAAATATTTTATACAATTTTAATTAAGAATTAAAAGAGAGCATTTTTATAATTTTGTAATGTTAAAAAAAAATTAATGAAAAGGAAATATATAAAAAAAGAAGAGGAGGTTGCAAATTTGCTGAACGTTGAATGAACGTGCATTCGTTCGAATGAACGATTAATTCTTTATGAGTTAATATTTCATCCTCGATAAAATTCAGCCACTCTTCTAGAAATTTCTTACAATAAAACTGTATTAATATTCAGAAGAAATGTGAAAGATTTCTCGTTGTGTACGATAAGCAGCGAATGCATTTTCAAGCTCGTTTAACAGCGGAAATTTCATTTTTTACTTAAACGATTAGAATTACATCACGTATTCAGTCGGGCGTGAGTTTTGTAACATAACGGTTAGAGTTTCACCACTGTAATTTGCATAGATTAACGTCGACGTGTAAGCCATTACTAATTCCATGGTAGTAAGCTAAATCATTGCGTATCGATCGGTGAATGGGGCTATCGACTTGTTTCAAACGGCAATTCGCTTTTATAGTTCTATTTGAATCTTCCGTTACCCAGTAATTAACAATCTTGCTGACAGAGATTTGATTTTAGTTGCTTCGAGAGTTATTATTACAATATCTTAATAGCACATTTTAATAGCATATTTTGCTCATATAATAACGATCTCGTGCGGCATTTATAAGTCTTTTACCATAACCGTATCTTTAGTGCATCACGAGAGTTTATATCTGATAGTGAATAATATTGAACTCTCCTTTTTGCTCTCTCGTTTTTGCAAAGCTACACTAAAAGAAAATATTTGGCTGTTGTAGTAATTTAGGTGGTAAAATATGACAGCGTATTTTTAATTGACTGCAGTATCCAATTTTTGGTCGCGTGTTAGCCATCCGCAATAGCTGCTACAGCCAATTAAACATGCTACGCCACATTTAGCCAATCTTTTTTTCAGTGTAACGCAACCATTTTGGAAATGATAGAGTATGGTGTATGTAATCTAAGAATCTCTCTCTTAATATACATATATTATAATATTATTATGAATTAATTTATTTTTCTGAGGATGTTTTTCCTTTTCATATCCTTGTCTCTTTTCGCGATATATCATGCTATATAAATATATTATATGCTATATAAATATATTATGCTATATAAATATATTAATGCTATATAAATATGTATATTATATTGGCATTTTTTATTTATTCTTCTGAGCCTCTAATTATTACTTAATATTACTTTTCGTTTTTCAGATGAGAAG